TTGCCTCGAGACATGCAAGGAAGTTTATGAAGACGCCATGGATTCCATGACGAAGGCCACAGAAGATGTCAATTTAGGAAATTACTTCAAAGCTAATGTGGATATTAGTGCCATGACCTCATTCATTGAGACTTGCAAAGATTGTGCCGCCGAGATGTATGGAGATGACCCTGCCTTTCAGAAATTTCAGAATTGGGCTGAAGGCATTGCCAGCTATTGTCTTGATAAAGTCGCTGGCGCGAGCAGTTAATATGGTATTCAATTTATAACATATGAAACCAAGAGCTGTTGGTTGCTCTATAAGTCAGGTGGTTTGGTGGAATGACTTTGATGTTGTGAAAGAGAAGAAAGGGGAAGAAAGTGATATTATGATACTCTTTTTCAACATTCTCCTTGTGTCTTCTTTACACTGGATTGGGTTGTATTAAGGGGGAAAATGTGGTGATGACTCTATGCTACGTATGCACATGGAATGGAGAAATGCTAGTAATAGTGCTTGATTAAACTATATATAATGAATTTATTTCACATATTCCGATGCAAGTAGCTCTAAATTTTATTCTTTTCCATCCTTGTTAACAATTTATGCAACTACTAACTAGTAATGTCCATCACTATCAAGTATGATTTCGGAAGAATGAAGCTGTACTGTGGGTTGTTTAGGCTGATAAGTGTTTACCAGATGCCTAATATGCAATTATGCCCCTTCTTTGGAAAGTTTTTCTCCTGCAAACCTCACCTTACCAACTGCTCCTCCCAGTACATGTTTATTGCTATCATAGATGATGAATTCCCTAGTGAAATTCATTTTAGTAGCACCGAGGTTCAGCAAGCATTGAACACCTAGCTCCACATAACTGGTCCCAGAAGATGGTATAACAAAATCTGCAGAGAAAGACCCCTGCAACATATGTTGGAATCTTGAACATGCTTCAGAATATAGAAACCTGCATAGCAGTGCCATTAATAACACTTGTAGACTGTTCTTTCGGATGGTCTTGCACTTGAATGCTTCAGAAACGTACTACAGAAAAACTTTATGGGTACTACCAGTGTCAATCAAGATTTGAACAGTGATGATGTCCAGTAATCCTTTGTTAATACCCAAACTAGACATAAACTTACTGAAAATTTTGACAGACTGGCTGAATGAACAGGTCAGTCGTGTTGAAGGCTAGCCTTTTGAACTCACGTCAACTGCTTAGTTGAGCAAGAGTCTTTCACCTTTTACATGCTAGGAGCTACGCCTAGAATAAACTCGCCTCAATCAATTAAGCAAAGACTTGACCCGCAATTACACCCAAACTAAGCGGGTAAGGCAGAATTTACCATGACAAGAATAAGTTATTGTATTAGACTTACTCAAGAAGATCAGCTTCTACAGTAGGTGGAATTAGTGAATTATTAACCGCAAACTAAGGAACGTATACGGATCAACTGAATGAGGATCAAGTCGGCTAATTAAAAAGAGTTCTAGAATAAGGAAGGACAGTCAATAAAGCTGCCAACAACCACCCGATGATCTGGAACATACAAAATTTTGGAGGGATGCAAAGGGGTACGGGTAAAGCAAGCCCAATAGCCAGTCATATCTCTATGAATATGCCAAAATTGTACATAATATCATCATCCACATTGAACATATAAAGTTCCTCTTGCTACCAATTCAATACAATTTTAAAAGCCTTTTCTTTTATTTATGAGTTCCTCTAGTATTCCTTTTACATATTTTGTTATTTATTGCACTTTTAAGCTATTCATCAAATCACCAAGTACTAGTCTTTCGTACCTTCGCCAATTATGACCTCTTGTACAGGGACTCATAACCCATATCTAAGAGACAAAGTCCTCTTAGTATATTGCTTGAAGTGGAATCATAATTGTGAATCACCTGCCTTTAGCTTCTTAGCTTAATCGACTATGAGAAGATTCACCAATGCCCTTATTGGTCGGAAGCCTAAAGAAGCATTTGATAGTAGGCTATAATTGCGTATTTTAGTCGCTTATTGCACTCTAATTTACTGTATTTTTATTGTGTTTGAGGTTTAATCACTAGTGTTTTGCACTTATTGTGTGTTTTATGCCTAGTAGGAGCGATTCTGAGTTATGTAGATGTTGTGGAACTAATTCGTGCTATGTGGAGCCTTGAAGTCTTAGTAAAAGCCCAAAGGATTAAACCGGGATCGTGTTCGGGGGTCGAGGATCAATTCTGGATGTCAAAATTCAAGGAAAAAGCGATTGCTGAAGAAATGCACTAGTGCGAGGCACTATGCGACACATTACTGCAAATTTTTGTCAGAAATTTCCAAACTTCAGAGACTGATTTTTTGTGGTCTGACAGGAAAAGGCATTAGTGCGACGCACTGGGCGACGCATGAAAAGCATTAAGTTTGCAAGTTTTTCTATTTCGGCTAGAAAAGAGAGATTTCGTCTAGGTCCGACCCTACTTGGTATAAATACATGAAAAAACGTTATTTTCTGGACTTTTGACACACTTTAAACCTAGAGACACATTAGGAACATTCGGGAGCAAGGATATCTCAGATTTCTTCATCTTTTCTTAGTATTTTCAATTATCCAACACTTATGAATTTGTTTGATACTTTCATGAGTAGCTAAAACCCATAGTTCTGGGGTTGTGATTTAGCCATGAATATTGTTGTTTAACGTTGACTTAACATTGATTACAACTCACCAATATATGGTTATTTCTTCAATTTTGTGATTAATTGCTTAATTGTCTGGCCAGCAATTAGGTTCTATTGACTATCTATGCTATGTTTGGGAAAGCCATGTTTAGATTAGAGAAGAATTGAAGAGAGCATGATCTTAACTCTGAGGGGGGGGAGGGGTATTTGTGGTTAGGATAGGAATATACCTAGTCACCGTGCTTAATTAAATATCGTAATCTTAATGCGTTCTTAATAGATTGATTTCATAGAAATATAGGCGTTAATCTATTTTGAATAGGCAAGTAGTACTTCGGGAGAAGGGTATGAGAGAAATTGTTCGATTAATTAGCAACCATGAGTGAATTGTATGAAATGGAGAGTTAACTAGAACACAATAGGATTGGTGAATCAATTACAACCCTGGAATATTATCTGTACTGAATACACAATAACTGTTTTGCTGCTTCATAATTTAGTTACTACTTAGAATTATAGTTTAGTATAATTAAACTCTTGAACTCGAATTGGCTCGACTGAATAACAATCTTGGTGAATTTAGTAGGTAGTTGACACAAGTCTCTGTGGGCTCGACACTCGACTTATTATTTTTTTACTTGTACGACCACGTATACTTGCGTGTGCGTTTGGGAGCAACAAGTTTTTGGCATCGTTGCCGGGGACTTGAATATTGACTACTTTCTAATTTTTGCTTTCATTGTTTATTTCGTCAAGTCTAACGTTACTTGATTGTTTCTCTGATCTCATGAACTTTGATCGAATGCGCAGGGTCAGAAGCCAGGACAGACTTCAAGGCTTTGACCCCGAACCTGAGAGAACATTTCACAGGAGGTTGAGGGAAGCAAGGGATACAAATAATCTTCAGGCACTTGTTCAATTTCCTGTGAACATGGCAGAGGAGCAACATATGGATGTTCAGGATATGGCGACACCCAGCATTGCTAATGTCACCTCCAGCATTGTGAAGCCCAGAATCATTGGGCACTTTGAGCTGAAATAGAGCATGATCCAGCTACTACATGCGAATGGACAGTTTATGGGTCTTCCATACGAGGATCAAAACAACAGCACATCCTCGAGGCTCACACGTTTCCCGTTCTCTCTGTTGGGTGAAGCAAAGCGATGGCTGAAGGCAGAACCAACTAATTCTATTACATCATGGAACGATCTAGCAAGGAAATTTTTGGCAATGTTCTTCCCTTCAGGCAAAACTGCAAAGATCAGAAGTGAGATAGTCTCCTTCAAACAGAAAATGGGGGAGTCTTTATACTCAGCTTCGGAGAGGTTTAAGGGGATGCTCACAGACTGTCCTCATCACAATCAGACAAACGAAGTGTTAGCTCACACTTTCATAGAAGGGCTACATCCTGAGACAAAGATTGTGGTAGATGCTGCAGCTGGAGGTCAAGTGTTGTAGAAAAGCTTTGATGAGATATATGTGTTATTGAACAAATTCTCCAAAAGAAATCCTGATTGGCAAAGAGAGATGGGCAGACACACAGTGCAAAAATCTGCATCAGTTCTCGAGTTAGATGTCGTCTTTGCATTATCAGCGAAGATTTCCACATTGACCAACCAAGTCAATCAGATGACCTTGGTTGTTAACAAGCAACAAGCCCAGCCAGTGCAACAGGTTCAATTGTTTTGTGAAGTATGTGGAGAGGGTCATACAAGCGACTTATACCCAGTTAATCCAGAGTCTGTCTGTTTTGTGGGTAATGCAAATAGGGGCCAGACAAACCAGTGTGAGAACACTTACAATCCCAATTGGAGGAATCACCCAAACTTCTCTTGGGGTGGAAACCAAGGTGCTCAGAATCAATACAGGCCTCAAGCACCTCAATAACAATATAGACAACTTCAGGCTGAACAACATGCAAACTCAACGAGTCACCTTGAGGAGATAATGAAAAAATTAATGGCTGATCAGTAGGCCCAAGCAGCAGCAATGAGAAATTTGGAGCGACAAATGGGACACTTGCTAGTGCCTAAAATATTCGACTAGTTGGAGCTCTTCCAAGCGACACTAAGGCTAATCCTAAGGCATCTATTAATGCTGCTTCATTGAGGAATGGGAGACAGTTAGAAGAAGTCCAGTCGAAAAAGAGAAAACAAGTGACCTTTAATGAGGAGCCGACCACTATTGAGTCGGAATCAAAAAAATCAAAGGAGTTAGAGAAGCCAGCCGAAGAGGCGGTGGCTACAAAACCGCCACCATTAGTTGCAAGGTCACCACCTCCGTTCCCTCAAAGATTGCAGAAAGTGAAGGATAATGCCGCATATAAAAAGTTTCTTGATATTTTGAAGTAAATGCAAATCAATATTCCACTGGTAGACATCCTGCAAGAAGTGCCCAGATATGCAAAATACATCAAGGACATAGTGGCAAATAAAAGGAGGTTGACTGAATCTGAGACTGTGGCACTCACTGAGGAATGTATCTCTAGAATCCAAAGCAAGCTACCTCAGAAATTGAAGGATCCGAGTAGTTTCACTATCCAAATCTCGATTGGTAAGCATGCAGTCGGGAGAGCTTTGTGTGATCTTGGAGCGAGCATCAATTTGATGCCGCTATCTGTGCTCAGACAGTTGGGGTTGGGTGAGCCACGCCCAACAACGGTAATCTTACAGTTGGTTGATCGCTCCCTTGAGCATCCTGAAGGAGTGATTGAAGATGTGTTAGTTCAAGTGGGTTCTTTCATATTCCCTACTGATTTCATTATCTTGGACTACGAGCCTG